TTTGTTTTCTCTCCTGAAAATCCCATTACCTGTGTAGTTTTTTGGGAGGTGGGCACATAAAGATTCAGGTTGCTGTATCTGGCCCCCGTATCAACCATAAAAGGATAGTTACTGCCCTCAATCAAAATATCTATCACTGCTGCTGGAAATTTCTCAAAAACTACCTCCATAACTACACAACTAGTGGGATCCCGGCCTCCCTAGTATTGCTGGGGGTGGGGCGGTTTGCGGCATTGGCATCTCTGTCCCTCTCTCAGCTCACTCCTCTGGAACTCCAAACGGTGTGTAGGATAACCGTTTTGACACCACTTTGCTCTATATCCCATTCGTCCGCAGACCCAGCAAGTGATATACCTGTCGTTTTGATCGTATCCTCTGCCCCTCTCTCTGCCACGTCCACCAGCAAACGCTGCTGCCTGTGCGTATTGGTACATCTGGTAGTCCTCCTCCGCGTGCGTGCTGGCAAGAGTCACACATTCAGGGTTAGTCATATTTGTCAGGGTATTGTTTTTCTGTGATTTTTTTTTTTTGCTTTATTTTCTTTTTTCCGTTCCTTTATAAGATTACAGTCTGTTTTATTCAGGTCGGTAGCTCTTAGGGCTGCCCAAAATTGGTCCGACACAGGGGCAAGCAGGGCAGAAGATATCAAGTTACTCGTCCCCGCGTGTACCTCTATGTGTTGCAGCTTATGTGGCTCCAGGTGGGCTGCCATGCAGGTCCGTAGATCACCGATCGCTAAAGTTGGTCCGTTAAAAACAGATAAAAACTCCTTAATCCATGTCTGTGCTGCTTTTTTAGGATCTGGAAGTTTGTATCTAAACAAGGCACTATCAGTAGAAGTTAGGGGGTTGTAGCTGACCGTCTGTACTCTACCTGCATCCTTATATGTCTGAACTAATGGCATCTGGACTACCATCTCCCTGTCACTTCTATTATTCTCCTTACTCAGGGTATATTTGCTTCCAGCGGGGTCAAGCGGCTGTGAGTAGGCAAGCTCGTTCTGTGTTATTTTTATGGCATCCTTGACTAGTTCCACAGCTCTATCAATCCTGTCATTTATCATCAAAAGGCACTGATCCTCTGTATGCGGTTGTCCCATGTTCGTAGCTCCCTCCTGTCCCCCATAGCAAAACTGTTCCTCATGTTTAAATACCCCTTGTCTGTCCGTTACTTTATTTAACTGCATCTGTTTTTCTGCCAGCTGTTGATCCATCTCCTGCAGTTGTAGTTGCAATTTTAATCTTCTCCTTTCCATTTGTATCATATGTTCCTCATTACTATCCATTTGTGGCTTCATCTGCTCATCCCTCCCTCTTAGACTGTCAGCTGCCCCTAGACTGTGCCCTTCATGTTCTGTGCCCATTCTATAAATTGTTGACATTTGCTGAAATGCTTTATTTACCGCCTCCTTTATTAAATCTTGCATCTGAAACTCCGTTCGTACCTCTTGTCTCAATTCTTCCTCTGTAGGCCTTATTTCACAATTTATCTGACCTTCATAACAGGCATCTGCACACATGAGTTTGATGGAAACATTGCATCAACAGCCTAACGAAACATTTCTCTGACACCTTGGTGTGGACTGGGGTCCATAATAGGCTCTGTTTCTGCAATATTAGATGTATTCATGGGAGGTTTTTCTTACCCTCTGAAGTGTCGAGTGCCTGCTCACCTCCCTGAGCCCCGTTTTGCTCCACCTGTTCCTGTTCAGGGTCCTTGTCAGAAAAATAGTTACTAAAATTTAACTTGGTTTGTCTAATCAGATCCCAGTATGTGGTTCGGGATGCGCAAGAATTTTGACAGGCATCTAAACAGCCTCAGTGTTCAGTCAAGATGTGGGTGTTTGGAGGAGAGTTGCTGTCAGCTGGATAAAGTTAGGATAGATTCTAAGAATAGATTGGTTGTTTTTCCAACCAATCTAGTTGCTTAAAGCTAATTTGGTTTGAATAAACAATGTAATGAACAAAATCTGAGCAAACCACCAGACAAAGCCAGTGTTAATACGTCAGTGTTAAGAAGTATTTTCTCCCAGATCAGACCATCTACATGAGTGGTGTCCTCTGTAAGGGACAGGCTCTCATGCTAGAGGTTGATGGTTCAAGACCTGTCTCTCTCTTTTGAAAGTTGCGATTAAACTTAATTATTTTGGCTGATGAGACTAATTTGCATTGTTTTGCCCGAGTAAAAATATAGATTGGGAAAATTAGGTTGGTTTAGTCAAAAGATTGGTTGAACACAACTTCCAACCTGATTTAAACCAAAAAACATGGAAAAACTATCATGTTTGAATAAAAGTGACTAACACCTTTCATTTTGTTCATCATTGCCCAATTTCACTGTCTGCTTACATTTATTTCACTAAAATGGCTGAAAAACTGTGCACCTTAAATTATTGTTCTAAGAAATTTTATACTTAAAAAAACTTACAAAAGATTTTATTATACACACCAACCATTAACAATTTCAAGGGAACTTAAAAGGGGAAAAAAAGAAAAACAATTGCAAAAAAAAAATCACAGATTTTATTACAAACTGTAGTTCTGCTGTCCACCAGTAGGTGGTGACTTTTTCAGATGGAGCCTCATGAACTGTGGGGATCGTTGAAGCAATTTGGCCAAACGGTTCAATGCCTCATGAGGCTTCATCTCACCATCACTACCTATAAGCTACAGTGAGCCGCTTTTCTGCTAAGGAAGTGCGTCCGTCAAAAAATGTGTCCGTCAAGGAAGTCTGTCCGTCAAAGAAATGCGTCCGTCAGTGAAAAGGAAAAAAGAAAAGAAAAAATGAAGAGAAATTTAGAGAAAAGAAAAAAGAGATTAATAATAAAAAAGAAGAAGAGAAAATAAAATATATAGTACCACCGAGTTCACTCCACCAACTTTGGAATTAGACAAACAGGTTGCCTAATTCGGGCTTCAGCCTAATATGTTGTATGGGGTTTTATTTTATCGTCTCTCTCTTTCCTTTTATAAGAGAAGAGAAGGGGGGAAAAAAGCCCCCAAAAGTCTGTTTCAACTTGACCCCTATTCTTTCTCTCCAGTCTTAGTTTTTCGTAAATGTCCTTATGGGAGGTATACTGGCAAAGCTCTAGCCGTAATGTGACTGGTATCCATCGGTACGTTTGTTTTTCAGAAATGCATCTTTCGTGTCTGCAGGCGGACCGGGAATAAAATCACCGTCCCTTTCTGCATGTAGAAACCGTTGGGCTCTCTAACCAACTTTATCCTAGTGAGCAGTATAATTTTTGAAGGTGTTTGCGCAGGGGCCTTCAGCCGGACTTTCAAACGCTACCCACAGCAGAACGCATGACTTTCTTCCTCTTTTTTTTTTTTTTATGTGTACACGCAACCAAACCAAAAACTGCAAAAACAAAAAACTAAATCACTCTGAGCAATTTCTCTGTCCTCATTTGCATAAAAAGCTTCAACTCACTTCAGAAAATCACAACACAGCAAAAGTGTTTTAACATTAAAAACACTGGAGATATTTTGTAAAAAGGAATCTCCTCACCTTTTCAGTTGTTTCGGCTGCAGGCTGTGGAGTTTTTCCCGTATGTGGCTCTGTTGTTTTGCTTCCAGGTCATGGGGGGAAACACCAATTTGTTAAAATGAGAAGGATTTGTCCCCTTGGAAGGAAGGCTGTAGCGCCCCGGGGGCCTTCTCACAGGTTCTTTTCCTGGGAGCAAGTTATTTACTACTCTGAACTCAAACTGGGTAAAATCATATAAAAAGGACTATAAAACAGGAGTAAAAAATGACAGAGTTTATTCCAGATCAGGTCGTTACAGGACAGAGAAAAATGCTTAGAGCTATGCACAGCTGTGGGCTCAAAAATCATGTCCGCGAGCGTTCGGCAAAGTTTGAGCCCTGAACAACGTCATCTCCTGCTTCTTATAGCTCATGGGTCTATGTGTTGCATCATGTTGATGTTGAGCTGTCCGTATCAGAAACTGAAACGCCATCTATGTCTTGAACTTCATGCAGCTTGCTTCAATATTTCAGGGTTGCAGATAGCTATCCTCAATCAGACCGGCTCCAAGATGTGCCCATATCCTGTGTATTCTTAAAGACACGAAGGCTGTCCTGATTAGATGACCTCCGTAAACACCGTGACATCCACAATGTGAAGGAAGGCCTTCTGCTCTGTCTAATCTGACAAACAGAATAACAATGCACATGATGTATAAAAGAATAAACCTAACAGGGGTCAACCCAGTTTTTAGAAAAACTCAGGTTTTCAGTGGGAAAGCGGCTTTTGATAAAAGAAGACTTTAATTTGGCAATCAAGGTTTCTGAATCAGATGGAATAGCGTTAAGACTCAGAATCCAGGGTGAAGTTTCCACATTCAGTAATGTTTCAGGTTTCACTTAATTTGCTGGTTTTGCTCCATTGTGTTATCTGGAGTCCACAGTAAACCAGTCTTCTACCGGGACATTTTAGATCACTTCATGATTCCTTCTGCTGAAAAGCTTTATGGAGAGAAGATTCATTTTCCAGGAGATCTTGGTCCAGACTGTGAGAGGGACCAGAACCTGCTTCAATGACCATGGTGGTACCAGGCTGGTTTGGTCTGAACACTGTTGGGTTAGTTTGGTCCCTGGTTCCCAGTTGAGCTCAGTCCTCAGGAGACTCTGGGAATAAAACCATAAATCCTTCAAGGGTCTAAATATTCTCTCTAGACCAGGTTCTCTGGAATGGACCCCACAGTAAAACTGTAGGTGGTCTTTGCTTACCTCCTGGAGTTCGTATCATTCATCTGTGTTTATGGAAGATCTTCTGTGTATTTTATATCCTAGGATGGCATCAAAAGTTAATCCATGATGCACCAAACATAAAAAGATGCAATGGTTAGAAAAATACATAAAGTAAAGTATAAATGTGCAAATGTATACTTTACTAGATCAGGTAAGATGTTAAAAAGGTTATTATTAGTTTTCAAAGCGAAATCAAACTGTCAAATAATCACACACCTTTGACTAGCAGTAAACCAATTGCAGCTGCTAGGCCAAGAAAAGGGGCACGCAAAGTATGTCTGTGTCGCTTTGATCCATTACTGCAGACAACGTCACTCGTTGAGCTTCCTTCTTGGACCTTAGTTTGGCGTTCAGAGCATCTGACAAAGAAAAGAGAAAAAACATTTTAGCCTTTTAACAAATTCATGCTCTGCTTTAAAGGAAGTCTGAGCTAAAAGAAGCTAACAGCCTGTTGCATAGAAACCAATTCTATTATGATCTTTATCCAACTGCAGCTGATGGTTATGAAGACAGTCTGACTGAGATTCCTGATGCAGAGACATGATCAGGAGCCTGAGGAGATCTATGCTGATCCCTCAGACTCC